GTCAATCAGTATAACTAGGCCGTGACCTAGTGACCTGTTTGACCCTTGTGAACCTACTTGCTTTTTTTGTTTAAACTTTATGACCATTGGAACCTTGTAATTGTACCGCCTGGCGTCCCCCGTTGACCCTCTTATTAGTTTCACCCTCCAGATTAAAGGATTGCTTCCGTTGTTTGACCCTTGCGACGTTTGACCCTAAGAAGGCATAACCCTTGCGATGTTTAACCTTCGCGAGGATAACCCTCGTGATCATTTGATTTTGACGATTTCCGGCCGATGTCCCTCTCACTTTTGAACCTGGTGACTTTTTAGCTTAGCTTCCTTGTAAAGAGCTTTCTGACACTTTTTGACATTTTTGACGCCCCAGAGGTAAATTACCGGTATTTGACAATGTCACGTCATAAACTTCCATCTGCGAGATATGCCCAACCCTGTTGTTGAACACTTTAGATTGGCCCTGTTCATCTCCCCTATAATCTCTGCTTTCATGACATTAATTGTCATTAATTGAGGAAAATAATAGTTTGCGTATTGAAATGGAAAATAAATCAGTAGGGGGAACGCCGCCGGATGGCGGCAGTGTCGACTTCTCGCCCAGGCCGATAAAGTCGGCAGCAGTGGCGGGAGAAAATTGATTATCCAATAGGTTCATATTGGCATTTTTTTAAATTAGTTTAATTCTGTACTGACCCAATTACCCTACGTGAACAATATTATCGCAAATAGATATGTAGGAGGAGAATACTGCGGGTCAAATAGGGGCAAAGAGGGGCATCAAATAATTAGATAAATAAAATAATGGAATCTAAAAATTTTGAACTTTGCGAGAAGTGGGGGGAAGGGTATGTATACGGAGGGTTGAGATTTTCACCCGTTGATGGGGGGGGGGCGGAATTTATATGAACATTATATATATTTTACATTATGTTGAAAAAACAACTGAAAATAATGTTCTGAACAACTATCTGCTTATGCATTGNTCTCCGGAAACATGCGCAGATTTTTTATACATTAAACAAAAATGAATTTCGGGGAAAATACATGAGTATGCGGTTTCTCCGGGGGGTTGAAGACACCCGCATATATCCGGTGGGATGAAAATTTAGGGGGGCGAGAGGAGGGGTTTGAGATTATATTTTTATAAAATTTATCGCCCCCGGAAACATGCGCAGATTTTTTATAAATTAAAAAAAAATGAATTTCGGGGAAAATACATGAGTATGCGGTTTCTCCGGGGGGTTGAAGACACCCGCCTATATCCGGAGGGATGAAAATTTAGGGGGGTGAGGGGGAGGGGTTTGAGATTATATTTTTATAAAATTTATCGCCCCCGGAAACATGCGCAGATTTTTTATAAATTTAAAAAAAAATGAATTTCGGGGAAAATACATGAGTATAGGGTTTCTCCGGGGGGTTGAAAACACCCGCCTATATCCGGAGGGATGAAAATTTAGGGAAGTGAGGGGGAGGGGTTTGAGATTATATTTTTATAAAATTGATCGCCTCC